ATATGTTCTTATGCTCTTTTTCTCATTCTTCCAGTTTCCAAGAGCAACCACTATTCTGACTTCTCAAATCCTGTGTTAATTTACTGTTTTTGAATTTTATTTCAACTGAACTATACAATGCAAGTATAATTATTTCATAGCATTTTCTTCTGCAGGACAATCTGTGTGGCTTTAACTGTAACATTTCTGAACTAGTGTCAGAAATTCTGTAGAAGGTCTCATATTAATTGATTAGCTTGTGCTTACTTCTGTTTTACTGATTTTGGAAATCCTAGATAAATTTTCATGTTAATTTTCTTATTTGGGAATCCTGAAATTTTCAGGACACATAAATATGGACTTTTCACATCAATTGTATAAGCCTACTATTTTATTTTTTTGAAAGAATTTTATTTAAAGAGAAAAAAAGAGCAAAACAGAAAAAAAGAATACAGAATTTCAAAAAAAATAGTAAGAAATCACTAGTTGATAGATTACATATTGTCATCTTAGAAGTTGGTGTTCAAGTTACAGAATTAAAACATACTAAGTGGACATTCAAACAGTGAGACTGCAAACAGTTCTGTTCAATGATCCAACAAAAACTTAGTAGTATGGTTATCTGTCTTACACAATTAAGCATACATGCGGTTATATGCTTTAGAGCACTTTCTTTTCCTCTCTTTTTTATAATAACAGTGATACATTTTAGGTTACAGTTCTTATTACTTTGTCTGAAGAGAGTAAAACCAAATGTAACAAAACAAAATGGAGTCAGTTAAAACAAGAATAGACATAGTATATGATGTAAAAACAAAATACAAGGAGATCAACAATGGCTACTATAATGCCTCTTGCTATCTTCAAAAGAATTGCCCATATCTTAAAGAGGGTAAGATTAAACATAACAAAACAGAACAAAACAAATCTTAAGGAAACAATTTTAAGAAGCATGGATTTCAAAGCAAGTCCACTGGAGATCTTCACTGTCTGTCTTATTGTCTCTAGTACTCTTCCAAATAGTTGTCCCCATCTTCACACGCATTGAATACATACTGAACATTATAGAACTAATCTAATAATAACAGGATGATGAAGACTTTTTAGGTCTTCAAGACCTGACATTGGGGAAGTCAATAGTGACTGCCATAATTTCCCTCATTCTCTTCACAGTAGCTGTCCTTATCTTTACGTACATTGAAATTGAACATAAGAGACTAGACTAATATCATTCTGAACAGTGAATAATAGTTTTGCTAGATTTTATATCATAATGCTACAGAATTAGCACTGGATATCTTAGTGTTTCTTCTTTTTCAGAGTATCTGTTCATTACATCATGCATTATATATTCTGTTCCTGTAAACTGTTTAGAAATTCTCCTCATGTGTGAATCTCTATATGTATATCTATCCTTTCTGTATTATAGGGGAAAAAAGATCATAACAAAACAAAAAAACAAATTCTTAGAAAAACATGGAATGAAAAAGACATATAAAACCACAATATTAGGTGATTTACAGTAGTTAGTATGCTTTCTCTTGTTATTTTCAACAGAGTTGTGCACTTCATCAGACATATAATAATTGAATATGGCATTACATAGCTATTTTAATAAAAACACAACTTTGGAGACATTGTAGGACTTCAAAAGCAGATAATAATCAAACTGGAATGGGTATGTTATTACAACTTGTCATCGTCAGAGTGGTTGCCTCTACTCTTAGGCTTGTCACCATCAAACATACCAAATTCGAATAAAATCAGTCAAGGCAAAACAGCAGTTTAACAAAGCAGCTTCAAATAAGATCAGTCATAGTAAGACAATATAAGTAATATAGGACTTCAGTTTAAGTTAATAGGAAATTAAGGATTGTTACCATGGTATAGCCTGCTATTTGGGGGATAGCTATCTGTGCCCTCAAATCTAGTATGAGTAGAATGACCAGAACAAAATAAAATCAAACTAAGCAGAGCAATAAGACTACTGTGACTTTTAAATCCTCATACACTATTAACAGTGTCCTCTGCCTTCCTTTTTCAGGCAATTCCTCACCTTTCTCTTTCTCAGGATGCTTTGTATATTTTGGGTTCCACTAACTCCTTTAGTTTTTAGATTAGGGGTTAACCTGTTATCTAGCTGAGTGGTGCTGAATCTTTTTACTCCTGAGCTTATCTTGAGCTGTACTCCTTTACTTACTAAATCCACAAGGTTTTCCTTCCTTCTAGCTCTGTAGTTCTACACTGCACAAAAGTGTCATAACTTTCCAACCTATCTGTGGCTACTAGATGAGCTGTCTCTATTTCTCTCTGGTTCCCTGTCACTTAGAGCTTCATTTTCTCATCTTTGACTTTCAGTTTATTAACATTTTTTCAGGTTGAGTATATTTCCTATTCAAAGCATCTTGTTGGATCCTGCCTCCTAATCTACTCTGCCTGTGTTTCTTCTTATTAGTGTATCTAGGCTATCTATGTTAAAAATTATAACCCATCTTCTCTGCCTCAATTCTGCTATTATTTGTCCATTTTTCTCCTTCATTCCACTGTCCTCCCTGTTCAGTGAGGCCTCTTTGCCATTGTTGCTGAAATCGTGGTATTTTTTTTTCTCTCTCTCTAGAATATCCTTCAGTATTTTCTATAGGGTTGGGTTGGTGGCCCGAACTCCCACAGTTCCTCTTTGTCTTGGAAACATCTTGTTTTTTCATTACTTTTGAGAGAGAGATTTTCAGGGCATATCAATTTTGGTTGGAGGTTATTTTCTTTTAGGGTTCGGACTATTTCTCCCCAGGCTCTTCTGGATTTAATAGTTTGAATTGATAAGTCTGTCATTATTTTGATAACTTGTCCTTTGTAGGTGATCTGCTTCTTTTCTCTAGCTACTTTTAATATTCTATTCTTGTGGTGGATTCCTGGAATCTTGATTATTATATGTCTAGGTGAAGATCTGTTTTGATTGTAGTTGGCTGGAGTTCTGTATGCCTCATTTATCTGGATATCATTTCTTTTTCCTATGCTTGGGAAGTTTTCCTTAATTATTTCTGTGAATAGTCTTTGTAATTTGTTTGTAGTTACTCCTAGTTCTTCACTTACATTTTTTTATTCTTAAGTTATAGATCCTTTTGTCATCTTCTAGCCTTTGAATTGTTACTTCTTGGTTCCTTATTATTTTTAATAGGTCTTTTCTTTCATGATCATACATTGTAAATCTCTCTTCAAGTTTTGAAAGGCTAAGTTTTGTTTCTGTCAAGGCATTTTACCAACTTTCAATGGAGCTTTTAGTTTCCTGGTAATCTCTTTGGATCTGTTTCATGTATTCTAGATTTTGTTTATATTCTTCACCAAAGGTTTCTCTTCCTTTTATGGGTTCCTCCCTTCTTCCCTCTGTGTTTTCTTGAGAGGGGCTTAGCATTTCTTTAATCAACCTTTTTATTTCTTGCCTCACTTGGGTTAGAATTTCAATTTTAAGTTCATCTATGAAGTTACGAATATATTTCTTTATGTCTGCTAATGTTGTGGCTAATACTGTATTATTGCAGGACTGGTTGTCTTCTGTATTTACCTCTCCTGGGCTTATTTTCCCAGGGTCAATGGCTGGAAGTTTTGTCTTATCTTTTGCTCTTGTCATGTTTCTGGTTTCTTTCAGACAGGTGTGTGGAGGAGGTCTCAGGCTGTCTCTGTATTCCTTACAGTTTTTCTAAAGTGTGCTGTCAGGGGGCTTGCTGCTCTCTCCAGTTTGCTGATATCTGAGCTGAGCTCAGTGACGCTGCAGGCTGGCCTGTCCCCTTTGAGCCAGTCAGTCTGAAAGTGCCTTCAGCAAGTTGCTCTGTGCTGTGGCAGATGTCATAGGGTCAGAACCATTTCACCCCTGGCTATTGGTTACCGACCAGTGGCATGCTTCAGCCCAGGATGCTCCCACCAATCCTCTCTGGGCTAGGGGTGGTTGACTGATGCCACCAGGGTGCCGGGCTGTGCCCCATTCCAAGATGTCTTCCAGTCAGCCATCCACACCACAGAGGCCCAATTTCTAGTACTCACTCAGAGCCAATTTAAAGCTCTCCACCTTGGCTCCACTCCACACTGCACTGCATCTTCCTGCCAATGGCCAGGGACTCACCAATTCCTGGCTTCAGCATGACGTTGGATCATCTGACCTTGGTTAGGTGCTCCCAGCAGTGTAGAACTTGTCTCAGTAAGCTTGTCAGGCTTCAGCCCTCCACCCACGCTTTTCCTTCCTCTTCCTAATTTTATTTTTCCCTTCAGTTTCCTCCTGGGTTAGTGAGAATCATTCTCCAATCATCTGGCCCTCTCCATGTTGTCAAATTCTAGTACCTGAGCTGTTTTCTCCAGAGAGGTTCTCTATCCAGCTTCCTAGCAAGTCGCCATTTTTTTCTCCTCCTAAGCCTACTATTTTCATTCCTTTAGTTTTCCTCCACTTAATTCCCCACATCAGACTACATGATAAGTTGTTGCTTTTGAGTCAAGGTGAGTAATTTTGCTTCTCTTTAATCCTCCGTTAGTCCTTTGGCTTTGTATGTCATCAGTGAAGTTATCTAATCAGTGTCATACGAAAACATCTCATTTGTCATTGCTTGGAAATAGGGACCCCAGTCCTTTCTCTTCCACGCAATCCTGCAACAAAATCTTGAGGACCTTCATCACATCAGTTCCACACATAGTTTTGTGTTCCTTGTGCTTCTGGAATCTGAAATTTTTTCTTTAATAGGTTGTATATAACACCTAAAACTTAAACAGTGTTGTATTTGGTATTTTTATGTATTTGTGGAGGTATGTAAAGGGAGAGGGTATATAAGGTATAACATGTACGTCTGTATCAGGCTGCTTTACCATTCTTAGAAGTTGAGCAGATCAGTGCAGTTATAGTAACTATGAGGAGATTGATTAGATTTCCCAGAATTTTTTTCAGCTCAATTATTTCTACCATATAAGACCCAGTTTTACATGAGCAAATCCATGATCCAGTTGTATGTGTACTGACTCAGATTTTTGCTATTGTTTTGTAGATGCAAGTTTCCAAAAATGTGGTTGAAAAAAGAAAGCCTAAACTTAGGAAAAGGTATGCTTAATAAAATTAAAAGGTATTGATAAAATTGAAACATATAGTATATCTATGCTGTGTAACAGTTCTCCCAATCTTTCATTCTTTTTCACTAGAGAAACCTTGTGTTTAAATTTTTCTAAAAAAATGATAACTAGCAGTTTTAGAAGTATGAAGAAAATTTAATATTCATACAGATATACTGAACTAGGATATTTAAAGACTAATATTCAAGCAACCAACTAGAAATGGGCTTTTGTTTTATAAATAGGTAATGTAAATTAGAAACTTGCTTTCAATATAAACTGATAAACCACTGACAACAAGTTTTAGTATTTGTTACTGAACCAACCATACCATTTTTTAAAGAATGTAATCACTGCTGTGTTAAAAACAATCCCACTGAAAAGTAAAAACTGACAATCTTTCTCCTTCTCTTCTTTATACTCTTGCCAGGAATTTAGCACAGCGGCAAAAGTGCTTGCCTGGCAAATGTGAGGTCATGAGTTCAATCACCAGTACCAAAAAAAAAAAAAAAGAAGGTTCTTTGTACTCTTTCCGAAGATAAGAATTTTTAAAAGTGAACTTTCATTGCCCTTTTTCAGTTATACCTCACAGCAACCTCATCATCAAATACATATAATATTATAATTATCTCCATTCAAGAAATGAATAATTTGTGGCTTGGAGGAGTTGACTTTCCAATACCTTAATGAATAGTGGAAGGGCATTTGAGCAGCACTGTGTGGTGGAAATAGTATCACTCTGCAGTTTACAAAAGCAATTCCGTCATGTGCAACCATGTTAAAGTTGCCGAAATTGTTTTTTTTTTTTCTCTAATATCTCACATTGTCAGTTTCTTGATTTAATGAGAATTACTTAATTATATTTTTTTGGAGGAGAATTCACACACACACACACACACACACACACACACACACACACAAACTTGTGTAAGGTGCTTTGTAGATCACCAGTGCCTTATATCCAATAAGAGCTCAAATCAATATTATTTCCCCCTTCTTTTCACTTGATCATGCTGTCTCACTTAGTATGTAAGAGAAAAGGTATCTTAAAATTTATTTTCATAATCTTTGATAAAAATGAATACACATAAATGATCATAATTGGCCTTCCAAAACTAAAAAGATCTAATTCTTTTGTTTTAGGAAACCTCCTTTAAAATATTCTTTTGAAAATGTTTGTTCTGAGGATGCATTATCAAAGGAAAATATGGGTAAGTGAAGACTTTTCTTGCTTTTAGTTCTTTTGCTTATAATTAATTCCACAAAAGGTAGTTCTATGCTTTGAAGATAAGAAAATACAAATAAGAGAAACATTAGTGGGCTACTTTTGGTTTTAATTTACATTTAGGGGCTTTTCAATTGCCTTTAGGTTTCTATTTCCTCAGATGCAAGAGTCTTGGCATATATTTAATTTTTAAAATAGAGCACATGCAGTTTTGAGAGGAAATGCTGACTATGTTTCAATCCAGACTTTTCCATTCCAAATTTATGGAGTCCAAAGAGATAAAAGGAAGTAAAGTAATGACTTTGGGCTTTCAGCTGAATTGTCATTGATATTAGAACACAATAAGGTGAATGTGGAAGGCAGGAAGAAAGTGTATTTTCAAAAGCTACTCCTCCTCCTGCATTATCATTGGTCTAAAGCAAGCAAAGGCTTATTTTCCAGCTGTAACTGGCAGTCCTGTTCAAAGTCTATTAAACCCAGAGGACTGGTCAGTGCCACAGTCCCTCTTCCTTAAAGCCACCACAGCGCTATGGCATTGTGTTTCAATTGACTAAAGAAGTCTTTCATTTTGAGTCTCATTAAAAAAAAAAAAAAAAACTAAAGCAGGCAGAGAAAAATGATCAATTATTTTTAAATGCTTTTGTTCCTTTCCTAAGCTGTAACAAAATTCTCTAGTCTGTCTCTTCCAACCAAGTCTGCTGCTGTTTTCTTGCTAGTTAGGATACCTTTTCTTCGTTGCTTCCCTTCCTTTCCTCCAGTGATCAGCTTATCTATTCCTGTAGAAAAGCAACAGTCTCTTTATCCCTGCACTGGTTTCCTACTAGGAGGCCCAGGGCTCCAGAATCAGGAGCCTGCTTTCTTCCAGTGTACACGAGAAAATAAAAAGATCCACTCTCCCCGCTAGGCATCCACTGATGAAGTAATGGATGACTGTGTCTCATTAGTTACCCCGGGAAAGAGAAACTTCTTCAGGAATCTTACATTCTGTATGACTGTAGGAGGCTCAAAAGTTGTTTAACATAGCCAACCTAGTTTGTGCTCTATTCCTTCACACTATCATGAAGTTAAAAGCAGGAATATGTAGTTCCAAGAGTAAACTCCTGAAAAAAGTGGTTCCTTATCAGTTGTAGCACTCAAGACCTTTTTAACTACTATTTCTGTAGACTACTCAGTTAAAGCTTCTGGGAGCTCTCAGCTCTTCAGAAGGTGGGATCAGTCCTGCATCAGATGACTGAAGAAAGTGGTACAGTCTTCTTTAATGTCTGCCTCACTTCCTGTACCCAACCTGCTTAAATACACACGTGCTCAGATTTCACTCCAGTATCTTGGCCTACACTTAGTGGTCCTGGGTGGGCTTTATTCTCCATGGATATTTTCTCACTTTTCCATTGCTTAAGTTCCTAGCAGGGGAACTAATTAAGTGCAATTACTTTTATCTCTCTAAGTATCAATTTCCTCACTTATGAAAAAGAGATGCAATAGAAGCCTTTTATCCAATCATGACAGATCTTTTTCTAGAAATTAATAGAAAGAGCTGAGGGAACATTAAATAATTTAAACTGTATGCTCATGTCTGTAAAGATTTATCTAAAAATATTACTTGTGGCATATGTTTGCATTTTTGGAAAAGTTGTTACCAGGAATATTATGTACTTTATTGTTATTGATCTTTATAACTCATTTACCCACTGTTGAGGGATAAGAAAGTTCTTCTGTGATGAAGAAAGATACTAGCAATAATAATGATGATTGGTAACTATGACAGTTACTATATATCTTCATTGTTCTAAACACCAGGGGTTACATGAATTTTCCAAGGACACAGTGCTTACTAAAATTAATCAAAGTGTCCATGTATTTCCCGTGTTACTTTGATTACAAAGAAGCATAAGGCAAAGTTGATGAATTTCTTTGATGCAGTATTGGAAATTAGTCCAAGCGTCTTTTACATTTAATTGTTGTCTTTCATATTTTCTGTAACAAATTGGTTTGATTTAGGTTTTTGTTGCTATATTGTTATGTCATTTTCTGTTGGTAAATATCTCATTCCTCTTTTGAGAGTAGTTTATAAAAGTTTGAATACATATGGACATACTACCCAGAAAGTAGATGGTTACTGAAGCAATGGCCCATCCCTAGAGGGAGCATGGAGTCCTGTGGGTCTGGATCTAGCCGTGGACTGGGTGACTCCTGCTATTCAATATGAACTTTGCCTACCATCTTTTGACATGAGGGTGTGTGGCTAAAAGCTGATGTTGACCTTTATTCCCTTTCTCTTCATCCCTCTTTGCCAAAAACCATCGTGCCTCTCGCTTCTATTTGTAACTAGAGGTATAGCAGTCTCTCCTTTGTTACAACTCAACCTATTCTTTACTCATTTCTTTGTTACATCACCAACACAGAAAGAAGTATTTGTGCTTAATTTAAAACTTTATTACCTTTTTCTCCTTACTTTCCTCCTCAATTAGAATGCTTTCAAAATTAATATAATAGTCCTAAAAATGTATTTAATGTTTATTTTAATGCCAGCATTGGGGTAACTCAACTCAATTTCTAAATAAGAGAGGAAATAGCTTCATTAAACATCTAATAGGGATTAAAGAAAACTCAGTGTGAGTGGGGGATTTAGCTCAATGTCTTAAGTGCCAGTCTAGCAAGTTCAAGGTCTTGAGTTCAATCCCTGGCACCAACAGAAAAAGAAGAAGAAGAAAACTCAGTGTATATAGTTGAAGTCTTTTAAAATAGTGAAAATAACTCAGTGATTTACTTTTATCAAGAATTTAAAAACAATACCAATTTATTTTATATACATTGATTTTTAACAGCTAGTTATGAACTTCCAATTGGAGATATATCTATTTCTGACCTTCCCTCTTTTCTTCCTTCTTCCCTTTATCCCTTCTTCTCTGTCTTCCAGTGATGAAGTAGTTGTAATATTACCACTTTACTCTCAACAACAACAAAACTGAAACAAGTCAAGAAAACTACAGGAGAACCAGAATTGATAAAAGATGATTGGTCTTGCTATCATAAAAGGCATTCATTTTGCCTCTCTCCTTTGAGGATATCATTGACCAATTTTGATAAAACTGTTGATTATAATAAATGCTATTTCTTGAAAATTATTTTGAACTTTAGTTTACAATATAGGAATCCCTATTTAGAAAAGCAAACCTTCCATTGCTCTGAAAGCAGAATTTTACATCAGTCAAGTTAGTATTATAAACCCAGGTTGATTTATGAAGTCTTATACTACACTGTCTACACTTTGATCAAAAGGCTGCTTACATATTTTTCCAGATCATTTGAAAACAGAAAGCTCTCAGTGCCATTTGGCAATGACATTCATTATCATAAATTGATTGTATTTCAGCCTAACATTAGAAATATAGAGATGTTTACCATCATTCCTTTACAACATAGCTCAAAATTCATCTTCTCAACAGTGCATTAAATTTCACTGTCAGTTTCTATAGGCTCAGAATGTAAAGTAGAAAAGCACAAAATTTATAAGTAGCACTGAAAAATCAGTATAAAGATAACCAGAAGTAGTTATCTATTAAAAATCAGACTAGTAATAAAAACCTATTAAATTTGGGAATTAATTTAATTAAAAGTTCAATAAAAGCATGCTCTTCTAGAAAATTCTGTTTCAGTTGATAAAGAGTTGGATCCTTATATTAAAATGAATTTTCCATGTGATTCTCATGCTACTAACTTTTTAATACTAGAGTGGAGCATTTTATTCTTAACCTTTAACAATTACTATACAACACATCTCTTTGGATGCACCTAAGATGTTAATTATGGTTTTTGTTTTGTTGAGAAGATGTTTCAAAGTGTGGAATGGCTTATCAGAAATTTTTCAAAGTTTTTTGAAAGAAATTTTCCATAGAGTAGACCTGAGGTTGGCTGGGAAGAGATTATAACCGAGAAGGCTTGTTACTCTGTATCTGATTTCTTGAGTTCCTTGTCTCTTTCGGTACACAACAAATATTTGTTGACTGAACAAAAAGTGCTTAGGGCAAGCCATAAATATAGATAGAAATATAGACAGCTGTAATTTAAATTATATATATATATATATATATATATATATATATACACAGAAAATTGTTTTTTCCAGTAACAACCAAGGAAAGGAAACTTTCTATTTGATAACCTGCCACAATTTTATCTAGCACTATTAACTGTTTTAGAGAATTTCACAATTTCTTTCTTATGGCATGTCCGGTACACCTTCTTGTTCCATGAACTTTCTGCTGCTTTACCTGCTGTGATTTTGGTGATCTGCCAATAAGCAGCGGGTATTAGGAGGTAGAAGATCAGACGGTCAGTGGGAGAGACGAAGGGCACAGGCCCACGGCCTTCTGCTGTGCTGTCTTTGCAAAGGCTTCTCAGATTCTCCGTCTGACTGTGGTGCAGGGTGATCGTGATGTTCCTTTTCAAACTTACTAATGATGCTCTTTAGTTGTCTCTGAGACAGAAGGTTTACTGAACGAGCTGGAACAAATGCTACAGCAAGCACTGGAGCCGACAGCAGCACCTGAGAAGTCAGAACAAGAACACAGAGAAGAAATAAATCCAGGAGAAAAGGTAATATTGACAGTTATTATCAGGCCTAAATAGCAACTTCAGATTCTCTAAAGGGCAGAATTGTTCTGGATTGCACATTATAATTATACACAACTTCTTTTTAATATCTGAAGTTTGAGCCCTTGATTTTCATGAGTTGATTAATAAATTAGTAGCCTATCAAGAAATCACAATACATGCCATTTTTGAAAAAAAAAAATCTATGGTTAAGCAGAGAGGAAGTCTTTTTATTTTAGAACTTTGGTATTGGAATGAAGAAAGATGGAGGAGGCTCACCCTAAATGGGATGGATCTCTACAGATCAACCTTTCTTTCATTTCTGATTATTTAAGTTGGGAGAAGGAAGGGAGTGGAATACCAGAAATTTCATGAAAAATTTGTCCTCTTTGGTTCATGAACCAGGATAACTATTGTAAGAAACAAACTACATAGTTAACGTACTGAATTTTCACTGGAATTTGTTTCCAAAATAGTAGTTTGTTTTTGTTTTTTTTTGTTTGTTTGTTTTTGCTAAAATAAGTTCCACCACTCGTATCTAAGTTTATTTTTTTTTCCTTTCCTTTTATCCAAATATGTAGGTTTCAGAAAAGATTGAGTGCTTTGAGGATAATGTGGCTGGAGACAACATGTAGGGTATAGATAGTCCATACATTGTTATTTTATTCAGAGTATCTGCAAACAAAATGAGGGTTTTTAATACTAGGTCTCATTAATGAAGAGCAGCAATGTGGTAATAAGTCAGGAGGAATAAACTTCCACCAAGTGTAGTCACACAAAATAATTAGAAAGAAAACTGATAGCAGGGATACAGTGCTTGTACCCAATCCTGCTCCTACCACTAAGGATTCACATAATTTACCAAGGTATTTATCACCTACCTGCCTCAAAAGATATTTTCAGGAGTAAATAGGTAAACTGGGAAAATATTTAGCTTAAGCTCAGATATCTCAGATTATATATTATTATAGAAGAAAATTAGGAATAGAAATTTCTAGAGAATAGATGTTAAGATTTTCTTACTTAATCTCTTGTCTCATACTCACTTGCATCACACTTGGAACAATTATTTATCCCCAAATTTGATTGTTCTCACATGCATTAAAAACAAAGTATTTAGAATAATCAAGATTGTTTACACACCTCAGGAGACTGCCCAAATCACATGATTCCATTTAGGACTTTAAGAAATATAAGGATGGGGCTCTAACAATGCCTTATTGAAACTACGAAAATGTACAGAGTTTACTATTACAGATACAAATGTGTTAAAATAAATGAATGTCAGCTGTTACTGAGTTGAAAAACAGGTTTTTAAAATCAGTACTAGCAATACCAACTTTTATTGGAATATGAGTAAGTTATAAGTGCCATTTTTTTCTGATTAATTTCCCTTTATAAAATGTCTGTTTTCTGTTAAAGAATTTAACCTTCTGGAGAACAAGATCTATAGGTCGATGACATGTCTTATATACATATAATTAATACCCAAATTATTCTTTTCTAGCAATTTTATGTTTTGTTTAATTTCTATATGGTTTTGAGCAGTGTGTTTTTTCTTTTTCCACTCTTAGCAGTTTGTCTTTTCAAAAATACAGCCAGGCTGATTTTTATAGTGATGTCCTGGAGCTTTTACAGCCACAGAATTGGCTTCTATTTTGCCATTATAACTAGTGACTTGATAGAACAGAAAATTACTTCTGATCATTATTTCTTGAGGTAAAATACATAGTTTTAATACATCACCTTGCAGGAGCTCGCTCTTTGTTTTAGATCTTTGTATTTTAAACTTTCAAAAGGCATTTAGAAAATGTAACAGTTAATTATTTTAACTTGCTGGCAGGCAAGTGAGTGCCTCCTGCTGCCTGGTTCATAAGCCACTCTGCATACCAAGTTTGTAAGTCTGGCATTCGTGCTATGTTCAAGATATTTAGGGCCTTGTGTACCTTTAAATGAGGTGAATAGCTATGAAACCAACCAGCAAAGCTATAGAAATTTCTAATGTAAAAGTAAAATAATGACCACCACTGGGACTTCTTTCTGCCTCTGACTAGTCCTGGCTCTCTTTGTCTGTGTCTGTCTGTGTCTGTCTGCCTCTCTCTCTGTCTCTTTCTCATTACTACGAAGAATTAACATGGCTTCCAAAACAACTCTAGCTAAAATGGGAGATATGATTTGTTTTGTAGAAGTCACTTTTGATCAGCTAAACATTACAAAAAGAGCCACCAGACAATGTTAAAGTTCTAAGAATGCTGATTCTCTGAGCAGATACCACATGAGCTGTTTTCAAAGTTGTAAATTTTTTTTGGGGGGGGGCGGTCTTTTTCATTTTTATCGGTACCAGGGATCGAACTCAGGACTGCCTGCTTGCAAGGCAGGTGCTTATGCCGCTGAGCTAAATCCCCAGCCCCTCAAAGTTGTAAATTTTATGCTACCATTGCTCATTTCTCCTGCGAGTTTGCATTTTCAGTTTGATTAACCTGAAACATTTACACCAATGGATAAATATAGCATAGTATGAAGAAATGCATACACATGTGGATAATCAAAACTCTTTCCTATTGTCATCAAAAAGTTTCATATTATTTTCCTTGGTGGAGTCACTTTCCTAATTATTTTCTCCTTTAGTTAATATTAATTGACATGCTCTTATCTGGCAAGCAATGGAAAGAAATGAATTTCATATTTAGATAAATCCACTTGAATAATCTACAAACTACACACAAAGTAGGTAGTTTACTACATAATCATTTGCATTAAAAGGCAAATTTTATATATAAATATATGTGTATGAACTACATGTATATTTTGATAAGTACCCATAGTGAACGTCAAATATAAAAATCTCATGCGTGTGTAGATTGGTGTGTACCCACACAATATTCTCACAAAGGTTTATCCCTAGGAGGCTTTAATTCTCTGAAATAATTTTAATTATTTTAAATAAATATTTAGTTTTAGTATTTAGCTCAGCAGCACAAGCACCTGCCTGGCAATTTTGAGATTGTGAGTTGGATTCCCAGTACCAAAATAAATAAACAAACAAATATTTATTATTTTAATATTTTAAATAAGGTAATATAGAAAATTCAGAAATAAGATCACATTTTCCAAAGCATAAAATTAAAACAACTGCATATTGTGGGAAGAGAGATAGAATTTAAGTAAGTACTTATTCTTACACAAACACATGTACTACACATTAAAATGGGGATTATTAATTGATCACCATGGCTTGAGTAATTACTACTTTATTTTGTTCAAAGAAACAAGTAAATTAGATGTACTTCCAATGACTTACATGCTTATTTTTGCAGTTACATAAATGCTACCCTGAAGTTTCTGCAGGCAATCCATTTCAAGACCATCCTGAAGAAGACTATCTTGTCATTGATGGGGTAAAATTAAAAGCTGGAGAATGTATTGAGAATATAACTAACAAGTTTAAAGAAATAGATGCTTTGATGTCTGAATTTTAGGGCACTATAGAGATTTCAAAAGTTAATTCAGAAAACATTGGCATATTTATATTTTTCCTGAAGTCAAACATTGTTAAAATAATTAGTAAAACAGTTATACATTATACAGAAGTTGATAGTTCTAGTAAATTCCTGTTTTATATTTTGAGAATGTCCATGATTTTGGGTTAAAATTTTAGAATTAAAAGCTCTGGTATTATATCTACAGATTTTTTTGTTTGTTTTATTTTAAAATGGTTTATGAAATATATATCATAAACATGTTTTTCAGTGATTATTTAAGTCCTTTATTTTAATGTAACTAAGTATTAAAGTGAATATCCATGCTATTAAAATTCTTGGAAACAATTCAAATAATCTTAGAGAATATGTATTTGTAGTAGAACTAGCCTAATATAAAATAAAAGGAAATAATAAAACTATTTTTGTGCAATAAAGTTGGATATTTCTTAAAAGACAGTCATGTAAATTGCCTCTTTATACCAGAAAAAATAATTTCTACTATGGTTCCCATAACTGCCTACTTAACTGAATGCCTGTGAAACCTGGGGCATCTTATCCTAGGCTTCATCTTCCCTGCTGAATCAACATCTCTGCAGATGAGATTGGGCAAATGTAATTGAAAATGCCTAAGGAGAAATTAAACACATATATTATAAAATCCAAAAATATGGAAAAGTAATAAATGTGTAATTTTTCAAGGATTCTCCTGTGCAGTTTTGGTAGATGTTTTTCCAGATCCTGTTCTATTCGTACACAAAATGCACGTGCATGTACCTCTGTCTCTAGTTGCCATGCTGGTTTCCTTTGGGTGTGGAGGGTTGGAGACAGGACACTTCAGGTACTTAAACACCACAACTGGAGCTTGAGGAGACCAAAGCGTGCAAGCACCACGACAAGCTCTTAGTTGAATCACTTGGAATGGTGTGTGATGGTGAGATGGAGCCACAGCACACCTGGAGAGCCCTGGACACAGGGGAAGAATTCGCAGTGTATCCTGAAAACCATGGAGAATAAAGGACGCATTTCAGGTAACAGGATCCCTTTTCCATGACAGAAAGACAGGTGTCTGCAGTGTGGAGAGCAGTGAGAGGAAGTAACCCTGGAGACAGCAGATCAGTGAGGAGAGTATTTCAGGAACTCTTGTGAAATTGTAAGAATTTGAAGCATGATGGTGCTACAGTAGAGGAAATGAACAGACTCTAGCTAAGTTAACATCAGTAGGTGAGTGGGATTTGGAGACTGAATATTGGGCTAAGGCAGAGGGAGGCATTAAAGACAACTCTAAGATTCTAGTCTTTATGCTATTATTCAGTAATGTGGAAATAATACAATTAGAAACATTAGACAAATACCAAGTTTAGAGTAAGCTGTGAGTTCGGCAGAGATTATGATTATCTCACTTTCTGACAAAGCCTGCATTTTAGTACCTCTCTGAGAACCAGAGTGACTAAGACTAGTCATTCAAAACATACTTATATTCTAACTGGTACGAAACAGTGAAGGCCAAGGCCTTTGTTTTCTCTAACAGCTGATTTACTCTATAGCATTTCAGAAAAAATATTTTCCTCTCTTTTCTTGGGAGCGATTTTAAATGTACATCTTAGAAGATATTTGAGGAGGTAATCGATTACATTTTTTACTGCTGCTTAGAATCAACTTTAAAGTTTTCATAACTCTACTTAAAAGACTTCAGCCACAACCTAAGTGTTTTATGTAAATCTATATCTAGTAGATCAGTTACCTGTTCCTATTGGCAGTATGCACAGCAACTTTCTATGCAAAATACTGACATTTCCAGACTAAATTCACCTCTACCACGATGTGAATTGTAGAACCCTCGAATTTTACTAAAGTCTTTGTGCATTTGAGCAACTCACCGTGATTCTGAGAACAAACATTTGGTTTAGTTCTGTCTGCAAAGGAAAATGCAGTGTACTCTCAGACTGCGAGAATCTCTATCCGTGTGAAAAGGTATTTTTCAATGTTGAGATAGAACGTGCCCCAAAAAAGAAAAGGGGAGCTGTAGAGTAACACCTCCATCTTCAGAATGCAAATTATTTCTAGGTGGCAACTTCTAAATGTCTTATGTTTAGAGTCACCTGTATAAAATGGGCCAAGTATACTGATGGAACTGTGAATCCAGAGTTTATACTTTCAGGTGATGGTTCTGCTACCTACTAGCTAGGTGACACAAGGCAATTTATCAAACTTTTCTGAGCCTAAACTTTTTTCCATCTATAAAATGAAGGCTACTATGAAAGGAATCAATATGAAGTATAACATTATTCACACATGGAAAATCACGCTGATCACAGCTGTGCTCACTGTTCATTCCAGATCAGTCCTCTTCCCACCATTCCTGCCATTCCTCTCCTGTGCCTCGTGGACCAATATACCTAGTTCAACAAAACCCAAGTGTCAAACCTGCTTCTGAGGGACTAGGACGGGGGACTGTATATGATAGCTGAATTTTAGGGCAGGTTCAGAGGCAGTGCCTTATGTTGATGGTTAGACGTCTTTCTAGGTTCCAAGGACAGTATAATAAGAAAATTTAACCAATGGAGGTTAAATTCTAAATACATTAGTTTCATCAAATTAAAAATGTGAGGCAATATGTTAAAACATCTTTCCAAAGATTTGAGTTGAAGTATGAGTTCCTCTTTGTTTTCAGGTTAAGAAATATTTGCCTGAATCCACTTTGAAATGAGTTGGGCCAAGCCTTTCTGCTCTAAACTCTATGGTGTATTAATTTATGGAAGGTCTGGATCCATTGGAAGACAGAATCTCCAATTAGATCTATGGACAGTGAAGGTCTGATCAACAGAACCATGTCTAGTAAACCCGTATCTCAAGAAGGCTTGGTCCATTTGCCTGGTGCTGAAAATGAGTTTGTGTAAGAAGGTCCAATGGTAAGAAACTTGCCTCCATCCTTATTGGAGACAGAGTCTGCTTGTGCTGGGTTAGTCTTTTGTTGCCACACAAAACATTGGCATAAAAACAAATGTATGCACTTGCAAAGTCTCTGTTGAACTTACTGACACTGTATTACAGGGTATTGCAACATAGACAGTTAATTCACATACGTATAATGCTAAGCATAGTTGCAAAATTGTGAATTTTTCTATGAAATAACTGATGCTCATCTCTTTCTATAGGAAACTCATTCATAACCCTGGGGAGACTGTGCAGCGCTTTTGGTAGCTAGTAGGAAGCAAATGAACTAAAACCTCTACCAAATAGCTAGTAATCCATAACCACATCACTTAATCGAGACTTACAAATGGTAGAGCTCTGCAGATAATTTCAGATTGGTAGATTGAAATCTGTGCCCCTTCCAAGAGACTAGAATTCTCTATTTTTATAATATATTTTAAAATACATAGAAATGTATATATTTTTCTCCCTTATGGCATCTCTAAGCAAGATATAGACTGGTAGGCTTTTAGTTAGATGTTCCCCAAAGCCTGATATCCTGTAAGTAAGGCTTTCCAGAGGTGGCTGGCCTACTGCACATGAAACTAGGATTAAGAATATGTGACACACACACACACACACACACACACACACACACACACACAAAAGAATGTGTGACACCTAATTATTTTAGTATATTTCTGACTGTGGCTACGGAAGGCTCACCCTGGGTGTGGGTGTTCCACCCAAAAGACTTGTAACCTGGGTAGGATAAAAGAAAGGCCACTGCTGCTGTTTTGCTGCCTGCCCTGACATGCACTGTTTCTCTTCCTCCAGGCCTCTGCTATGACACCATGCCTTGGAGCCAGCTGATTATGAACTGAAACCACTGTGAGCAAACTTTAATTCTGTGTATTGGGCACTTGGTCCCATCAATGAGAAAAGTAACTAAGACACAGACATCGTCTAATTTAAATTTCTAAGTACTTATAACTGAACCAGCTCTTAATGCCTGTCAGTCCTGTTAGAGGAAAGTAGTTTGGGACAAATAAATTGGGCCTTCACATCTAAAGAGCACATTCTGTGCTGGCAAATCTAAACACTGACACTTCTGTTCACTCATTTGTTGTATGGTGTAAGCACTCAAGCCAGTGAGCAGCATGATTAAATCAAAAGGCAGACAAGGACAGGATAAAAATGGGTTCTAAGAAAAACTGAAATAATAAACTGTCTGCTTTTAACTGCACATAGCAAGGTACTACAAGGAAAAAGTACATTCGAAATTTAAAAGTCAATTTGCAAATAGAATTCAGCATTTATGGAAAACATGAAAGTTGTCAAGTTGGAAAAAAGATTATTCTTATCTTCAATTTCTCCATCTTGAAAAAGTTCCTCCAATTAAAATATAGCCTGAGACACAAAATCAAGCACATTCTTACTAAATTAGACCAAAGGAGTAAGAGGCTAAATCCAAGTGGCTTGCAGGGAAACATGACCATGGGGTAAAGGCCCGGTCAAGGATGCGACTGTAGCAGTGTAAAATATTACAGGGTGATTCTTAGTAAATATTTCAGCTAGACACAACTTTTATAAAGGTCCAAGACAGTTCCTCAGCCACTTGAGGCAATGAAAGTACCAGGATTTAAATTTGGAGAAAGTCTTGAAAAAGTGTGCTTTAGACACATAGAATGAACTGGAATCAGATACATAAAAAACACACTTAGTTGTACACAGAGTAATACTGCCAATGACTGAAACAGTTTGAGTGGAGACAAAGATTTCTGAGCCTCAAATTTCTTCAGGGGGTTTTGTTACACAGCACTGTTATGGTAAGAGTTCACTGCCACATTGGACTTCATGGTCCCAACAAATCTTCTCACAGTTTTCCATCTCTCCGGGGGACCTACAGGGAGTTTTTGCCCCCAGGGTTATGTTACAGGCAAACTAATTCTGCTTTCTGGGCTGGCCCCAACTTGCAATCTTGAGGTGTTCTGCTCAACAACCTTTCTATCTTTGGAGCTGACCCAGACTGGCCTTGAGCTGCTAGGGGATCAGGCCATTTTCTGTCCAGCTCATAGCTGAGTTTGTTTTAATTTGGGTCACATTGCTGTATCAAGGAGATAGAATGTTATAGATTTACAAAAAGAACACCAGCACAACCAACATATCATTCATATCGTAAGGGTGTATTGAGCAGGTCACTTGTTTTACTTAATGTTTGGACTGTGATAATCACAGAGTAGACAGTGGAGATGTGTCCATAATGGAGAAAAAGCTTACTTGGTAAAGAAAAATGTGTGTGTATTTTCACATCCCCCATATTTTTTTTTTTTTTTTGTCTTCATGGTCTCTTTAGCATTTTGGTATTGTATCAGGATATTGAATTACAAATCCTGTTTAAGTCTAGGTTTTACTTATTAATTCATCTAAGTCATACAACCAGTAAATAAAAGACAGAGTTTGACTACACTTTTCTCTGGTGTTATATCTCGTACCCTTGATCACTGTGTATTCTGTCTTT